ACCGTTACTTAGGGCCACAGAAACGTTACTTAGGGACACAGAACCGTTACTTAGGGCCACAGAACCGTTACTTAGGGACACAGAACCGTTACTTAGGGACACAGAATTGTTACTTAGGGACACAGAACCGTTACTTAGGGCCACAGAACCATTACTTAGGGACACAGAACCGTTACTTAGGGACACAGAACCGTTACTTAGGGACACAGAATTGTTACTTAGGGCCACAGAACCGTTACTTAGGGCCACAGAACCGTTACTTAGGGCCACAGAACCAGAATTGTTACTTAGGGACACAGAATTGTTACTTAGGGACACAGAATTGTTACTCAGGGAAAGACACAGAATTGTTACTGAGGGACACAGAATTGTTACTGAGGGACACAGAATTGTTACTGAGGGACACAGAATTGTTACTCAGGGACACAGAATTGTTACTCAGGGACACAGAATTGTTACTCAGGGACAGACACAGAAATTGTTACTGAGGGGACACAGAATTGTTACTGAGGGACACAGAATTGTTACTGAGGGACACAGAATTGTTACTCAGGGACACACAGAATTGTTACTCAGGCACACAGAATTGTTACTGAGGGACAAAAAATTGTTACTGAGGGACACAGAATTGTTACTCAGGGACACAGAATTGTTACTCAGGGACAGACACAGAATTGTTACTGAGGGACACAGAATTGTTACTGAGGGACACAGAATTGTTACTCAGGGACACAGAATTGTTACTGAGGGACAGACACAGAATTGTTTGAATTGTTACTGAGGGACACAGAATTGTTACTGAGGGACACAGAATTGTTACTGAGGGACACAGAATTGTTACTCAGGACACAGAATTGTTACTCAGGGACAGACACAGAATTGTTACTCAGGGACAGACACAGAATTGTTACTCAGGGACACAGAATTGTTACTGAGGGACACAGAATTGTTACTGAGGGACACAGAATTGTTACTGAGGGACACAGAATTGTTACTCAGGGACACAGAATTGTTACTCAGGGACACAGAATTGTTACTGAGGGACACAGAATTGTTAGGGACACATTGTTACAGGGACACAGAATTGTTACTCAGGGACAGACACAGAATTGTTACTCAGGGACAGACACAGAATTGTTACTGAGGGACAGACACAGAATTGTTACTGAGGGACACAGAATTGTTACTGAGGACACAGAATTGTTACTCAGGGACACATTGTTACTCAGGGACACAGAATTGTTACTCAGGGACAGACACAGAATTGTTTACTGAGGGACACAGAATTGTTACTGAGGGACACAGAATTGTTACTGAGGGACACAGAATTGTTACTCAGGGACACAGAATTGTTACTCAGGGACACAGAATTGTTACTCAGGGACAGGGACACAGAATTGTTACTGAGGGGACACAGAATTGTTACTGAGGGACACAGAATTGTTACTCAGGGACACAGAATTGTTACTCAGGGACAGACACAGAATTGTTACTGTTACTCAGGGACACAGAATTGTTACTCAGGGACACAGAATCGTTTAATTAAAGAGTATGTCAGACAAACACGCAGAGGAGTGGCAGAGGAGGCAATGTTTTAGGAGCGAGCAGACGTGGCAGCAGAGGAAGGGGTCGAGGCAGCACTAGTCGCAGCCAGAGGCCAGTGCTCCCGGTGTCATCCAGTGGTCGTGTCTCCACCGACAACCCTGCCGTCATCGATTGGTTGGCTCGGTCGTCTTCCTCTTCCCAGGTCACCTCTGACACCTACAGCCAACGGTCGGTGGGTACGTCAGACACAACCGTTAGTTGGCATGGCCCGGGAGCAAGCCCACTGAAAAATCACGTGTCCTCTACCTGCCCCTGTCCTTTGGTGTTCCCTCACCAAGCGAAGTATCGCATGCTGTGGGCTCAGCCCCACTGTACAGTGAGGAAGAGCTAACAGAGGGCGGTCAGGAACGGGGGGAGACATCCGCCTCTTCAGCAGCCTGGCGAAGAAGTACTGGCGAGGAGAGTGGCTCGGTAGCCGGTCTAGAGACAGGTCTGTCTCCTGACCCACACGCAGCCGAGGGGGCTAGTAGTGAGGCGGAGACCCTAATTGATGATGATGAGGCTGATCGCACTTGGCAGCCTCGTCGTCATCAGGCTATTGCTTCCGCATCATCAGGAGAAGAGGGTGGCAGCTTGGCAGCGAGCAAAACAGTCGGTGGGTTGCCCAGGAGGCAGCAGGGTCGCAGCAGTGTCAGTGGAGGCAAACGGCCACGGAGTAGAGCACCAGCTCCACTGCAGCCTACCACCACGGCCAGTAGTGGTGCCGGTGTGCACGGAGGAAGTAGCAGTCAGCCAGTGAGGAGTATCGGGGGCAAAGTTTCCTACTCGGCGGTGTGGCAATTTTTCGTCAAGCCGCCCGAGGAAGTAAACGTAGCCGTATGTCGACTATGTGGCCAGAAAGTCAAGCGTGGCCAGGGGGCCCATGTTGGGACTACAGCGTTGCATCAGCATATGCAGCGTCGCCATTTGGTGGCCTGGGAAAACCGTGATAAAGATACGGCGGTTCTGCCTGCCCCCAGCCCCCGCTCTCCATCACCCGCTCCGTTACTTGCTCCGTCACCCGACGTCAATCGCCCTCTATCAGCCAGTCAAGGCTCCAACACCTCTGCTGAGGGGAGTTGTCGCTCGTTGGCATCTTCCGCTCGTTCAGATGCTCCTTCTCCTGCTACTCCTCTTCACGGATTCCGTCAGCAGTCTTTCTTGGAATCCGTTTCCAAGAGACAACAGTTTGCGAGCACGCACCCGACGGTGCAGAAGCTGAACGTCCTCCTGTCCAAGTTGCTGGTGCTGCAGTCCCTCCCTTTCCAAGTGGTGGACTCAGCACCTTTCCGAGAAATGATGGCTTAAGCCGCGCCGCGGTGGAGAGTGCCAAGCCGGCATTTCTTCGCCAAAAAGGCAGTGCCAGCCCTGCATTCACATGTAGAAGAGATGGTGGGCCAGTCTTTGAGCATGTCGGTCTCTGCCAAAGTGCACGGCAGCGCCGACGTGTGGAGCTGTAACTACGGTCAGGGACAGTACATGTCATTTACGGCCCACTGGGTGAACGTGGTGCCGGCACAGCCGCACCAGCAACTTGGACAGGTCACCCTCTTTTGCCTCCGTTTGCACGTCCTTGGTCCACAAAAGATGTCCGCCTCTACCACCTCTTCTCTTCCGCCGTGTCCCTCAGCCGCCCCCCGTGCCAAGTCCCATTACCCGACCGGCATATCACATGTGCAGGGCGCAACGGTGTCACGCTGTGCTGCACCTGGTATGCCTTGGCGAACGTAGTCACACAGGGGAGGAACTTCTGAGTGTAATGAACAGAGAAATCGACAGATGGCTGTCTCCGCGCAAACTGAAAATCGGAACCATGTTGACCGACAACGGAAAGAACATGGTGTCTGCTCTGCGTCAAGGAAGGGTTGTGCCATGCGCCATGCATGGCTCACGTGTTCAATCTGGTTGTCAAGCGGTTCCTAAAATCCACCATCCCACTGCAAGACATCCTTAAAATGTCACGTAAACTTTGCATGCATTTCAGCCATTCCTACACCGCAAAGCACACCCTCCTTGAGCTGCAGCGGCAGAACGGAATTCCACAGCATCGCCTGATCTGCGACTTGCAACAAGGTGGAATTCAACCCTACACATGTTAGACCGCCTTTATGAACAGCGAAAGGCCATCACCGATTTCCTGATGTTACAAGCGGATAAAGGTACTCCCCTGTGTAACTTCGATGTCAGCCATTGGCAGCTCATGCGTGACACCTGCCGCTTGCTCAGGCCCTTTGAGGAGGCCACGCTATTCGTGAGTCGGCAGGACTATGGGATGAACGACGTCATTCCTCTGTTGCACGTCCTGGAACAAATGCTGTTAACAATGGCTGGTCAGGGTGCGGTAGACGTGGCGCACAGATCTCAACGCCACATGACCCCTGTGGGGGCAGGACAGGAAGAAGAGGAGGAGGTAGAGGAGGACATTTGTGCTTAGGAATTATTGAGTGAAATGGGTGGTTTTTCCACTCAGCGGACAGGAGTGGAGGAGCAGGAGCATCTGGTAGAGGAGGAGGAGGAGGAGACAGAGGACCCAGACGCACCGTGGCAGTATGCTGTGGAGATGGAGGCAGGGAGTCCCTCGCATTCCTTGGCACAAATGGCCCATAGCATGCTCGGTTGCTTGCGTAGCGACAGCCGAATAATAACCATCAGACAGAGGGATGACTTTTGGCTGTCCACCTTGTTGGACCCTCGCTACCGTTCAAAAATGGTGGCCTTTTTCACACCTGCTGAGAGGGAGGCCAAAATAACGTACTATAAAAACCACCTATGTAGTCAGTTGGTCTCTGCCTTTCTGCTGCGCCAACGTCCATCCTCAGACACTGTGGGCCTTGTGCGCTCGCGTTCCGCTGCCATGGCAGCAGGGGAGGGGTGGGGTGGTAGGAGGAGTGGCAGCTCCACCAGCAGCGGCTGCCTCAGTCTGCAGTCGATGATGAGTAGCTTTCTTCACCAGCGCAGTGAGGAAACTACTAACCAGCCGCAGCAGCAGCAGCATCAGGTGGACCTGGAGCAGGACCTCAAACAACAGGCTTGGGCCTACTTGGACAGCACCCTGCCAACCGAGGTAGACAATCCCCTTGACTACTGGGCAACGAAACTTGACCTTTGGCCCCAACTAGCTGAATTTGCCCTTGAAAGGCTGTCATGCCCGGTCAGTAGCGTGGCATCGGAGCGCGTGTTTAGTGCGGCAGGAGGTATTGTAACTCCGCGGAGGACACAACTGTCCACCCAAAGTGTGGAGAGACTCACATTTGTGAAAATGAATCAGGCGTGGATTAGTCTGGATTTCAAACCACCAGTTCCTGACACAACTGACTAAATCCCGCCATGAATCATGCCCCAAACATGTGCCACTTTCAGGTCTCCTCACACTGCTGGTGCTGTCCATTTTGTCATAGGGTGCTGGCAGATTACGGGCCTCCCATTGCTGCTGCCAGGCCCGTAATCTGCCATGGGCCCCTGTACCGCCTCCTCATGCTGCTGCCAGGTCCAGAGTCTCTCATGGGTCCCTGTACGGCCTCCCATTGCTGCTGTCTCCATTGCCACACTCTGCCATGTGCCACTTTCAGGTCTCCTCACACTGCTGGTGGGTTCCATTTTGTCATAGGGTGCTGGCAGATTACGGGCCTCCCATTGCTGCTGCCAGGCCCGTAATCTGCCATGGGCCCCCGTACCGCCTCCTCATGCTGCTGCCAGGTCCAGAGTGTGTCATGGGTCCCTGTACAGCCTCCCATTGCTGCTGTCTCCATCGCCACACTCTGCCATGTGCCACTTTCAGGTCTCCTCACACTGCTGGTGGGTTCCATTTTTGTCATAGGGTGCTGTATGGCCTCCCATTGCTGCTGCCTCCACCGCCACACTGTGGCTCCACACTCTGGTTTTGGCCCCGTGATGCCCAAATGAGTGAAGTGTGCGGTGATTCTAAGATCGACGGCACTCATCTGCATGTCATACTGACTGACAGTATTATTTCTCTTCCCCAGCAGACTCCAAGGGCATTTAAATTAAAGGTACAGTGTTCTGCACTAATATAAAGGCTCTCTGAAGCCTAGAAACACCCTTTTATAAGTTAAATTCGCAGCGAATATATTCGCATCGAATTGAATTTATTCCTCGAATTCGCCGAATCAGCCGAATCGAATTTTTGAATACTTCGCTCATCTCTAATATTGATGGTTAAAGCAACCCTGGCATGTTTTTAAAAAACTGCAGCTGAAGGTTTCCTGCAAAAGAAGAGGTAGTACACAGTAAGGCTCTGAATGGAAGGATTGTGAAAGCTGTATACATGTCACCTAGGTTTTCTCACATACACGTGGTGAGAGTTACTGGGTTTATGACTGATGTGGAGAAACAAAACTTGCTGTTTCTTATAATAAGTCCTGTTTTGGGTCCTAGAGTCTGTAGGCTTTGTAGAGTTTTGTAGAGATTTGGGTGAGTGTAAAACTTTATTCCTAGGCCCACATTTTACCTGGTATCCAACCCTTGCTATTAGTCTCAGATATCCACAGGTCTTTATATACTGTATGTGTCATCTAGGTTTCTCACATACACATGGTGAGAGTCCGGGGCTGACTGACCATTTGGGAACTCGGGCACTGCCCGAGGGCCCGGGGTCAGTAGGGGGCCCCATGAGATGCCCCTGGTACCTTTCATAGGCTTTTTTGGGTGTAGTTTGAGTGTGGGCTAGGACACAGGGGCCCCATGATCCCCTATTGCCCGGGGACCCCATGAGTTGTCAGTCCGCCCCTGGTGAGAGTTACTGAGTTTATGGCTGATGTGGAAAAACAAAACTTGCTGTTTCTTGTAATAAGTCCTGTTTTGTGTCCTGGAGTCTGGAGGCTTTGTAGAGTTTTGTAGAAATTTGGGTGAGTGTAAGACTGTATTCCTAGGCCCACATTTTACCTGGTACCCAACCCTTGCTATTAGTCTCAGTATATGTGAGCTGCCTGATGTTCAGGGCTCTCTTTCTCATACTTTCTGCTGGAGGAGCCTGATACTGGGTAAAAAGGCTGACTGCTGACAGCATATAAAAGGTAAAAGATCTGTCTGTTTTGGGGAATCTATTTCAGGCACTCAGAAACCCACTCAAGTTCGGTTTGTGGCTCAGACAAGCAGATGTTTTGATTGTTTTATGCTGTACAAAGCCCTCCTGCATTTAATCTATGTTTGTTTGCTGCCTTGCTGAATAAAAGTGTAGTACAAATGTTCCCTGGTGTCTCTGTCTTGTACAGGGTTTACCGCGACCAATACTAGTTGAGCCTATCCCTCTTACTCACTTCTCTGGGGGCTTATATCTTCTATTTCCCTTTTGTTCCAGAGCTGCAGTCAGTCTCTTTAGTATACTACACTTCCTGAAAATGTCAGTTATCAGTGTTCCCTGCTCCATGCTGTTGTTCATTCCTCCGGCCCCAACCCTACTGCTGAGTCCTGTAGTGAGGCTGAAGTTGGAGGAAGAAGGCATGGTTAAGGCAAGGAGACACATTCAACATTTGTGTCAAATAGACAGCAGGGGCTGCAGTGCTGGTATGGAGTGAAGTTAGGAGACGTGGCCTGCTAGATAGGTGAGTATGGTATAGACATGTGCATTTTCATTTCATTGCGATTAATTTTTCGGAAGAAAATGTAATTTTTGTAGATTCAGATGTATACAAATCTCTTAATGGACATAGTAACAAATGTCAACAAATCAAAAAAAAATAAGTTGTAACTTAATTAATTAATGCATTAAACAAATTTGGGTGAGGTCACATTATGCAATAGTAGTTAGGACCCAAGGGGGAAAGGAATTCAGTTTGCAAATGTGTTTGATAATTTGGATTTAGATAACGAATGGATCCAAGTTTGATTTTGTTCGCTAATTCGGATGCCCATAATGCCAGTCCATATTGTCCTGTCAGCTCATACCATTTCTTTTGGTGGGTTAGTTTAGCATCAGAAAATTTTGAATTCTTCTGATTTGAATCTGTTGGATTCGACTAATATATCGAATATATATTAATCTTCCAGGAAAAACTGCAAAGTTTTTAGAATCTGCCAGGACCCAAATATACAAAGTGAATGTTGAAGATACAAAACAAATTCTGAAAACTGACCAGTTCAATATAATGAATATAAAGAAACAAAATTCTTAAGTGAAAGAATGCATCTGAAACTAAATGAATATTTCTGGTGCGCACATATTTAGTATGGTACCTGTGCTTTTTCAGGATACTTTCGTCTGCAATTTTTATAACATTTTATAACATGACAGGGTCGCTTTAAATCTATTTTAGTCCCATAAACAAATAACTCCTTGTTCTTTCTACGGTCCATGGGATAACACACTCATTTATTAAATCTATATAATGACCTTGGAAATGTTTGTAAATATTAATTAAATCATAGGTTTTTTTCAAGCTAAACAAGCCTAATTATTATCCTTTCAAAAGATAATGAGACCTTACTTTATTAATTTATTACAGTTGCCAGCTTTTGAATCCTCTCTAAATCTTCTTGCAGTGGAAGGAAATTTTTGACATCCTCTACTGGAAAAAGTTACTGAGAAAGAAATTATGATTTAGTTTGACCTGCACAATCAGAGTGATTTGATAATTATTTACTTTGATATTAGGATGGTGAAATGCCTCCATAAAGTTTGACCTTCTTGATAGTAATGCCTTGAAGAAAGAGTAAAAATAGAATTATATTTAGGTTTTCTCTAGCTCTTATTTTTTATTTTTTTTTTCAGCCTAGTTTCCTTCCATCCTTTCTTTATGTCTTGTGCAACACTGTCACAAAATGAGTATGAAATCATACTCACCACCCAACTGTGGTGTCCTCAGGCCCTATGTGAGCCTGGGAGACATATATTTTCTCGCCATACTTTTTGCCATTGTATTCATACTATGCCATCTGGTCCTGGGGAAGCATTCTTCAGTCGTGAAACACATCAACATACTGTATATGGAAGGGATGATCTAATCTACAACTACAACAATGTATAATAATTTCTGGAGACTCATTCAGTAACACTATATATGAGCCTGTGTCCTCTCCATCTTTGACAGTTATTTGTGTAATTGTATATATTTTGGACACTATTCTGTTTTTTTTATATCAACCCAATTGTTTTTTTTTTATTTGTTTGTTTTTACATAAGTTGTGAATAAATATTATGGAGTTGATTTACTAAAACTGCAAAATCTGGTGCTGCTATGCATGGTAGCCAATCAGCTTCTAACTTCAGCTTGTTCAATTAAAGTAGTTCTAAACCTCAGACACAAAATATGAACAAAGCATATTCCTCTACAGTGTGTATTGCCTCACTCCAGAGCACTAAGTGCCTTTTCTGTTCACTGCTTTGTTCCTGTAGTATAAACATGTAAATTCTGAAAAAACAGTGTCGGGGAGAGAACAACCCGTGATTGGCGGGGGGGGGGGTGTCCACTCCCTCCAATCAGTTTTAGGTTATTGTTCACTGTTTCCTAATTTACCTGAAAAAATCCAGTTCTTTTTAACCACTTGCCATCCAAAGGATTTACCTCCCTTCCTTATCAGGCCTTTTTATGTGATACGGCGCTGCGTTACTTTAAGTGACAATTGCGCGCGGTCATGCAACACTGCACCCACATGAAATGTATGTCCTTTTTTTCCCACAAATGGAGCTATCTTTCGGTGGTATTTAATCGCTTCTGTATTTTAGGGTCGTGACCACAGTGATTCACTGGCGCAGCGGTCACATGATCGGAAAAGGTCATGGTCGCAAGGGGAAATAGGGACCTTTCGTGAGACACGGACATATGTGCTGGGAGCGCACAGGGTGGCGCGCTCTCAGCACATATGTATTTTTAAATGGTACGCAAATATGCGGCTGCTCGGCGTCAAGGCCCAGACGCTGAGAGGCCGCATATTTGTGTGCACTCGGCATCTAGGGGTTAAACATATGCAGTAAAAAAATCAAATTTAGTCATAAATTTAGGCCAAAATGTATTATGCTTCATGTCTTTGCTAAAAAAAATTCCAATATGTGTAAATGAATTGGTTTACATCTACGTTTACATCTACAAATGGCGATATATGTATTGGAATTTTTTTTTCTCATTTTTATACTAGTAATGGCAGCGATCAGCGATTTATAGCGGGACTGTGGGACTGCGGTGGGCATTCTGACATGGGGGTGGGCTGACTAACTGTCACTGACCTCCTCAGTGACACTAATACAGTGATCAGTGCTAATAAAAATCATTGACACTGTAATAATGACACTGGGCAGGAAGGGTTAACAGTGTGCTGTATGCTGTTTTACTGTGTAAGCACATTGCTGTGCAGAGCAAACCTCTCCCCCGTCAGTGATACTTGTCGATCGCCGGGTGCTGGCAGGGAATCACCGGCAGGGACCCGGTGATCGACAGCTGAGGCCGCCAATGGCGGAAATGCAAAATCATGTATATACTGTATACGTGATTTTTCACAGCCATGCTGCCTTGTAGCAGTATTTCTGCTGCTATACGGTGGTGGGCAAGCAGTTAACAAGTTTTGTTTGATGGTTTTAAATACGTTTAAATAACACCAAATTACAACATGGCTTGTGTAGTACAGTAATTGTATAAGCTATATTATTTTTTTTATTTGCTATATTTTTTCCAAGAAAATTGAGTTACCATTTAATTAAAGAGAATTCTTCCTACTAGCAATACCAGTACAAAACACAGCAAAATCAAAAACATAACTTATACATTAAAAACATATAAAGTAAGTGAGCGCCTTCCAGTCTATCAATTCCCAGATTACAGCAGCTGTACACAAAAGGCACCATATAAGACCTCTAAAACAGATAAAAAACATAAACGTGCAGCGCTGTTTAAAACCAATAAATAAATACATATATAAACATGTAAGAAAGTGCACACAAATATATAAAGTGACACTGTGCATCTATGTATGTGCCACTAGAATATGTGGCCAATATAAACGTGAAAGAAAACACTGTGTCTAAAACATAAGTCCAGAGTGCAGGCGTGAACGAGATCTCAAATGATCTTCTGGTATCCAAAAG